TGTCCCGGTTGCCCCTGGTCCTGCTTGTGACTCTGGCTTGCTTGCAGAGCGGGATGGTTGGCTGTCCGGTCTGGAATGTCGTCCTGGACGACCAACCTCAGGGACGGTGCTTCAGCTCCTAAGTTCTTTGTTGGCTCCCGAGATGAGGAGGTGGACTTCCTGGGACCAGACATGAAGATGGACGAAATGGACTTCTTTGAGGATGAAGAGGAGCAGGAGGAGGAGGAGGAGGAGGAGGAGGAGGAGGAGGAAGAGTCGGTAAAGGGGTTGAGGGGGACCTTCCTGCTCTTGCCTGCCTCTGAAGGAGCAGTGTTTTGACACAGTGAGAAGCTGGGGCTAGGACTGTCTGGCCTTCGTGCACTCAGGTGGGGTGGAAATCCCACTGAGGGCATCAAGGAGGGTGTACTATTCCAGGCCCTCCCTCTTTTGTTTCTGGGGGCATTTAGAAGGGAGGGTTATGCCTCACAGGTCCCCTTTCTCTTCTCTTGAAACTGTCCTTGTTTGGCTTCTGGCCTGCATGTGCTTTCATGGGAATAGCCCTTTTTTGGCTTTTGTACATGACACTGGGGGGGAGCCCAGCTTTGCCAGAACACCCACTGCCCAAGGGTGAAGCTGCTGCTGGCTCTCTTCCAGCCCCCAGAACGGCAGATTGTCGTTGGCATTTGCGCCATGACCAAAAAGTCCAAGTCCAAGCCCATGACCCAAATCTTGGAGCGGCTGTGCAAGTTTGAGTACATCACAGTGGTGATCATGGGGGAAGAGGTCATCCTGAATGAACCAGTGGAGAACTGGCCAGCCTGTGACTGCCTCATCTCCTTCCACTCCAAAGGTATGTTCCCTCTCAGTTCTGGGTCCTCTCCCTGGCCCGGTTCCTCCAGCTCACGCTGAGCATGGCTTTCCTCCTTGAATCTTTCAGGTTTCCCTCTGGACAAAGCCGTTGCTTATGCCAAGCTCCGCAACCCTTTTTTGATTAACGACCTTGATATGCAATATTACATCCAGGACAGGTAGGGGTGTGGAGGTTGATGAACTTGCTGAGTTAACATGGGCTGCTTTATATGTTGTGCCCCTAGAGTGCCATAGCAGGGCCTGTCTTCCAGCAGCAGCGGGCACCGGAGACAGAGTCTGCCCCTGAAATGGCTGTTTCTTTCCGCCGGGTCTTTGGGTCATTTTGGCTAGCGGTGTAAGGTTAGGGTGGCTAGCAGTTCAGAAGCCAGAATTCAGTTAACTAGGCAATCTGCCACTGGGAAGAGCCAGGCAGACAGAGCTGAGTAAATCCTCAGCTTATACCTTTAGTCAGAATGCAGTAAATCTGAGACATGTTCTGGCCTCCTGTTGCGATGTCACTAGCAGCCCGGGACACCCAGTGGACCCAGGAAGCAGCAAGGCCCGAATTTGCCATCTCCCCTCATGAGGAGAGTCCTGTCTGTGTTCCCATCCTCTGTAGGCGGGAGGTGTACCGGATCCTGCAGGAAGAGGGAATAGACCTGCCTCGCTATGCGGTGCTCAACCGGGACCCTGATCACCCCGAGGGTGAGTGTGGGGCGGGCAGGGCCAAGCCTCCTCTCTGCCAGAAACACTTCCCAGGCCCAGTGAGGGCACTTGGGAGGCAAGACAAGTGGGTATGTTGCCAGATGAACAGAAGGTTGCCCTCTTTACTGCCCTAAGCCCCCGGAGGCAGACCAGGGTCTGAGAACACACGTGTGGCTGCATTTGTGCAACCTAGTTGAGTGGGGGCAGGGGGCTAAGAGACATTGCGGAAACCTAGCAAATGGATGAATCTGGTACCAAACTGAGTATGTTGTGCAGGGCCGTCTCCTTTGTTGCCCTGAGCATCCTCAGGAGAGGGCTCCTCTCTTGAGGAAGGGAGGTCTGAAGAGTTGGGCCAAGAACTCTGCTTTCCAGGGTGATGTCTGCTCAAGAATTGTTTTTTATTTCTCCTTGGATCCTCCTTGAGGCTACAGATTCACCTCCAGCATGTGCTCACCACCAATTAGCCCTCTTACATCATCTTCAGATGTTTCGTTATTAACATGGACCCAATGCCTTCTAATTTGTTTTTCCTCAGTTATCTCCTTGCAGCAGGACATGTCCCCCCCGCCCCGCTCCCCTTAGCCTGAGAGGGAGTGTGCTTAGGCCCCAGCCTTCACAGTTTTTTGCACAGTGGCTTTCCAGTCTTGATCCAGGCTCATTTCCCCTCTCAGTCCAAGGGAGCCAATCCAAGCCCCCTCCAAGGACAGTCCTGGGGTGTCTGGGGGAGCCTGGAGCTTCTGTAGCTCCCCAAGGAAGAAAAGGTGGTGGAGGGTCAGAGTCTCCCCTCCCTGAAGAACCTGTATGTTTGTGCAGAGTGCAACCTGGTGGAGGGGGAGGATCATGTGGAGGTCAATGGTGCCGTTTTTCCTAAGCCCTTTGTGGAGAAGCCGGTCAGTGCTGAGGACCACAACGTCTACATCTACTATCCCACTTCAGCTGGTGGGGGTAGCCAACGGCTTTTCCGCAAGGTGAGAAGGTTGCAGCTTTGGCTGAGTTGGGCCTCCTGAAGCAGCTTTTTTGGATGAGTGAGAGGCTTTGTCAAAGGCCTCCAGTTAGTGGGGTGGCATTCCCAAATAGCAGTGTACCTGGGTATCATCTGTATAGAGTCCTGGGTATCATCTTTATAGAGTTCTGGGTATCATCTGTATAGAGCTATACAGCCTTTTGTGACTTCTGTTCAGGAGATCGTGTGAATAATATAAAAGCAGTAATCACAAGCAAAACAATAGATAGTTCTCAGAATAATACAATCAATTTCAAATAGTCAAGTGGTGATTCACTGCAATAGCACCAGAATCTTCAGGTTCACAGTGGTTAGGCCCCCCTTCAGGTGCTAGATTTGAGAAGTCATGGTGAGATGCATTTCTGGGGTACCTTTCCTTCCTCTGGATATTCAATACAGTTCAAACCCGAGTTCCAGAAGTTGGTTAAGATCTTGTCTAAAGCAATTTTGGTTTGGGTAAGGTGAATGTATGTAATTATGTTACGTACAAAGGAATATAATTAATTTTTATTGAACAATAACATCTTCATCCTCTCCATCTTAAACTGCACTGGTGGGAAATAAGTAGTGGTGTAATGGACTACTAAAGGATGCCATTCCATTTTGTGATTGAAAACCAGGAGACTCTTCCCTGGCTTTTGTTGTTCCCTCCTGCCCTGCGGCATCGGGAGGAGCATATTCTCTCCATTTTCTGGCCTTGCTGTCCAGGTGTAAGAGTGGCTCTTGCTCCTTTGGGTGAGGCATCATGATGCTCCAGAGCACCACGGGGACTTGCCTGTTCCGAGGTGCAGCGTAGCCTCTCTAGTGGAGTTCCTGGACTGTTTCAGATTGGGAGCCGGAGCAGCGTCTACTCTCCAGAGAGCAGCGTGCGGAAGACTGGATCGTATATTTATGAGGAGTTTATGCCTACAGATGGCACGGACGTCAAGGTAGGAAGGGGGTCTTTGCAGGGCTCTGCTGAGATAGGAATATTCTGAAGCCCTCTTGGGAGCTCTGAGTGGGATGAGCACGCTGCTCTTCGGCTTCTGCGATTCAGGTCTACACCGTTGGTCCTGACTATGCACATGCAGAGGCACGGAAGTCCCCGGCTCTTGATGGAAAAGTGGAGCGGGATAGCGAAGGAAAGGAGATCCGCTACCCAGTTATGCTAACAGCCATAGAGAAGCTGGTGGCCCGAAAAGTCTGTGTGGCCTTCAAGGTTGGTCTTTCCCTCTGACATGTGGCCTCTGGGAGCCCTCCCTGAATGTATTGGTTCCTGTTGCTGTAGCCTGGAATACCTAGGCTGCCTGGACAGGGCTTGGAACCCCCCCCCCAAATATAGTAAGGTGCTGGTCAGTGTTCTCCCTTGGCGCTGAAGTATCAGGTTGTAGGTGCTGGTTCCCCCAGTCCTTGCATCTTCTTGGTAAAACTCTGCAATGGGGAAATGGAGGCACTTTCAGTAGCGTTTGCCTCCTGTGATCCCATGGCTGTTCCTATGTAGGGTTGGGAGAGTGTGGGCTAAGGTACTACTAATGTTTGTAGAGTCCCTTGAAGCCCGTTGCCCATGTTTCACTTCCCTTGGGCCCTGTCTCACCCCTTGCAGCAGACAGTGTGCGGCTTTGACTTACTGCGGGCCAACGGCCAATCCTTTGTCTGTGATGTCAATGGCTTCAGTTTTGTGAAGAACTCTATGAAGTATTATGACGACTGTGCCAAGCTCCTTGGGTGTGTGGTGCTTCAGTTAATCCTAACCTCCTGGAAGGGGAGGAGAGAGGGGTCAGACTGTCCTTCCCAGCCAGGGCATGATCGGTCTGAATCCAGTCTGCCTCAGACCGGTTGCTTTGTTTTTGGAGAGACCCATTGCAAGGCCAGGGAAGGGGAAGAGGAGGGTTTCTGACCAGCCTCTCCTCTCTGCCAGGAACATCATCATGCGGGAAATGGCTCCTCAGTTCCAGATCCCCTGGTCCATCCCCACGGAAGCAGAAGACATCCCCATTGTGCCCACAACTTCAGGGACAATGTGAGTGTTGGCCTCACTGGCTGCGCTCCCTTCTGACTGCCTCTTGCTAGGAAAGCAGGGCAGGATGACAGCATCCCAACGTTAGCAGGAGGCACGTTCTTGTCATAGGGATCCATTTCTGACCATTTGTGAAAATTGGCTCACTGGCTAATGGGAAGGTTTTTAGAATGGTCTCGTATTGGTTTGGGGTCCTATTTGCTGTGTTGGACTTTCTGTTAACTACAAGATATGGAGTTGGTACTGATACCCAGGGACCTGTAGCTCCAGGAGCTTCTGGGAACAAAAAATGTCCCAGGTCAATCCCTGGAAGTGCTAGTAACAAAAGCAGACCAGGTGAAATGCCTCTGTCTAAGATTTTGGAGCAGTCGCTTCTGGGTGAAAGTTACTGGAGTTCAAATAAAACTCATGCCTAAGTCATAAGGCCTTGGCTATAGCAGACTCCAAAGCAGATGCCAAGGCCAGCGTTGTTGGGGATCCCAGGGCAGGGTGTTTGGCTATTCTTTTTCTTGCTTGTCAGTGATGATGATAAGAAAACGGATCAAGATTTTCTGGGGCTGTAGGAACAGCGGCTGCTAATGTAGGTGCCTTCGGTCATCAATAACCTTAAAATGACAAGGACTTTTGTAAAAGCTTTAAATATTCTGTAAAAACTAAAGATAGAGGTTTTATAATGCCAGTGTTCTAAATTTAGAAAGATGAAATGGCACCTCTGGATTAAAAAAAAACTTTGCCTGGCTTTATTAATTAAGGGACTCTCCTTTGCAGTTTCTCTTGCCCACATTAGCAGTTGGGTCTATGCTGAAGGCTGCTTCTCCTTTAGAGACAATCTTTCCTCCAAGGACCAAGCCAACAGAGCAAAGAATCCTTCTTGCACACTGATTAAGTTGCTTCCATTTAGGACACCTATACAGGTCACGCATTCTGTGCCACAGTTACATGGTTTTCAGAGCTCCAGCTAGAGAGATGGTGTCCATGCAATGCTTTTTCTTCTGAAAGGAGAGTTCTTTTGGCTCTTGCTGAGAAGGCAGACTCACGAGGATACTTGGCCCCCGTGGCTGAGGTGTCCTCCCGGCCTGAGGAGGCCTTGGGGTCTTCCAGGGCTGACCCCTTTAGGAGGGGAGTGGGGGCGTGCCAGTGTGCTGTCCCAAGGGTGGGATGTCATCCTAGGTGTTCAAGGACCTCTCTTGCAGGATGGAACTACGCTGTGTGATTGCAGTTATAAGGCACGGTGATCGTACCCCCAAGCAGAAGATGAAGATGGAAGTGAAGCATCCCAGGTAAGGGGCTCCCAGCCTCTAGATCCATGGAAGAGATGAGATGAGGGTTCAGCCTTTTTCCACATCCGTAGCTCCATATTTGGAAATGCTCTTCGCTGTAGTTGGGGTGTATCTGAGGCTTGGTGCTGTACCACTCTTGGCAAGGTAAAGTGTGGGACTTGGAGATCCAGATTCAAGTCTTCTTCCAAAAGTGGACTCACTGGGTGACTTGGAACCAATTCCTCTTCTGCAGGACAAAAGGTTCCAGGATAAAATGAGCTCCTCCAGAAAGGGAGACCCATAAATGTAATGAAGTAACCAGTAGTATCAATAACCTGCTTTGCTTCTGGTGTTACCAGGTTCTTTATTTTGTTTGAAAAATACGAGGGCTATAAGACTGGGAAGCTGAAGCTGAAAAAGCCGGAGCAGCTTCAGGTGAGTTTCAGGGCTCCCCTCTTGTCCTGGGCTCAGCCAGACAGGCCTCTTAGAGGAGCTGCGCAAGTGACCGGTGGAAAGATCTCCACCCCCGTTAGACTGTAGGACTGAGGAACGCTTGCGGCCTGTCTCCCTAGATGGGGTGGGGAGTCCCTTTTGAATGGCAGAGAGACCCGGCTAAGGAGCCTGTGCCTTTGATTCCTAGAGAACTTGAGCCTGCAGACCTGAGCAAGCCTTTGCCCCGACAGGAGGTGCTGGACATTGCTCGCTTGCTGGTGCAGGAGCAGGGTGCCCTCGGGGACTCGGTGGCTGAGGAGCAGAAATCCAAATTGGAGCAGCTCAAGACTGTTTTGGAGATGTGAGCAGGGACTTGCCTCCCTAGCCCCCCTCCCCCCCAAAAAACTGTGGGATGATAAGATCAGTGTTGCAAGCAACTCTTGCGCCTTCTTGCACGTCCTGAGGAGGAGTGGACTTTCTCTGACTGCTGGGGGCATTCCCTTGGACCCGTTCAGGAACACCTTCCTCTTGCACCACAGCAGCGCATGCTGGGGGATAGCACACCAGGCGGGTGGGACTGAGTTGGGTGCCCTTTCAGCCTCTCCACTTTAGGTGCGGATTGTAACACCAGTTGTTTCATGCCAAGAACAGCAGTTCTTTGTTATTCTGGCAGGTATGGGCACTTTTCTGGCATCAACCGCAAAGTACAACTGACTTACTTGCCTCATGGGCAGCCGAAGGCATCCAGTGAGGAGGAAGGCAGGTATTGGGTTCCAACAGCTGGGCAGGGGAGGCCATGCAGGCAGCTGTGGGGGGGAGGATGTGAGTTGCAGAAGAGCACTGCCAACTTTGTAGGATGAAGATGCTGACCCTGATCACACGCACACATCTATAGACACAGGGAGTTGGCGTTCTGCATGGTGGGTGAATGGGGGAGGCGGAGGGTTTTCTTCGCTCATTGATGCTATGTAGCAGTTGAAAATGTAAGCTGCGAGGGCTTCAGTTGAAATGCCAACCCTTGTGGGGAAGGGGAACTACTGCTTTCCTTCCCCACCCCTTGCCAAATGATCCCCACTTTTGGGGGAAAGTGCCAAACTGACAACAGGACTGGGGGCAGAAATTGGAGCTGAGGTTGCAGCTTTCCGGCCCTCATAGGCACCTGACAACTTTCCCCCTTTCCCCCTTTCCCCCATCCTGTTTCACCATTGGGGTTCTTGCTCCCTTGCTCTGGTCCTGGACGTTGGGGAGTCTTGCTGGGTGGTAGATATTCATTCCGGCCCCAGCACTGGATGGAGATGACTCTAGTTCTCTGCTGTGTCCAGGTCTCAAGGAAGCCTCCCCTTCTCTGCTCCTGGTGCTGAAGTGGGGGGGTGAGCTGACTCCTGCGGGGAGAGTCCAAGCAGAGGAGCTGGGGCGAGCCTTCCGCTGCATGTATCCGGGGGGCCAAGGTGAGCCTGGGGATTGCAGAGGTGGCAGCTGACAGCGTCTTTGTTGCCACCTCTGAAGTGGATGCCCCTTAGAAAGGAAGGTTGTGCCTCTGCATCTGCACAAAGATTATCTTCTGGACTGGTTGGTGGAATCTGATTACGGCGGTTTGGACAGGATTGGCTCTTAAGAAGTCTCATTAGGAATAGCCCTTTATTTCTGCTTGCTGTTGCCTTGGAAGACAAGTTCTGTCTGGTCTCTAGAGGTCCTAGGGCAGCAGGCCAACTTTTGAATCCTCAGAACTTCTCTTCGGGCAAGATGGTGATGCAGGTGGAATTGCCTTGCCTGATAAAGTGGTCTTAAGGATTCAGAAGTTTTGTAAATCCTTTTGTGAATAGTAGATCTTGATGTTCTACATGGTTTGCTCCCTCTAGGCAACATGGCTGAGCTGCACATTTTAGTGTCAGTCCCGTTTGTCCTCAAGATTTCCCTACTGAACCTCCTGTTAGCTGAGATTTGGGCATCCCACTTCCTGCTCCTCCTGTCATTTGAAGGCAGTGATGATGCCACATGGAAAGCAGAAAGCAAACACAGAGCTCTGAACTGCTGGCAGGGACTTCCATGGCATCCTGGGATCTTCCATCTGAAGCTAAGAAACTCTCATAGCAGCCACAGATGGATGTTCCCTGGCACCTGCCCCAGGTGGGAGTCTCAAAAGCTTCCTGCCAGGCCAGAGTGCATGACTATAGGTTCAAGAGCAGCTGGGGAAGCCAAGATCTATGCTGAAGCAGCAAAAGGGCAGAAAGTTAGTGCAAGGGTTGGGAGCTAGTGAAAACATGACCTCTGAAAAGAGAAGAGCCCCTGGCAGCCTCAGCAAGGAAGGCTTACATGGCCAGAGGAAGGGAGGAAGCTGCCTGTGAGGTGCGCGTCCTGCCTTCAGCCCCACATCCTCTCCCCCAACCTTCAGCAGTTGCCCCACTTCCCTGCTGAGTACATGACCTTTTGGCCAGATTCCTCTCCCTCCTGCTCTGACTGCTTTACGCCCCCATCCTCGTTGTGGGTTGGGGGAGATCTCATCTCCCTCTCCCTCTCAAGCCAAAAGAGAGAGTCCATTGCAGATGAACCAGTGACCCTGAGTTAACACCCTGAGGTCAGAGCCATCCGAGGCTGATCCCATCTGGACATTGAGAAGGAGACCTTCTTGACAGCAGCTACCAGGTCTCCATTTTGTTGAGTAGGATGGCACTGACTTCAGTAGGTCATTTGAGGGGGGTTGCCAGCTGTTGAGCCTAGCTGGTCTTCCGTGCCTTGGGCTCAAGTGACAGCAGGGCAGCTCCTCGAGGGCAACTCCCAAAGTGGCCAAGAATCTAGAACTCTGCCTGGAACAGCTAGCCAGCAAAACATCAGAAGGTAGAGGGAAGATGACTGGGGGTTGGTAACTGGACACGTGGGTGCTTGTGAGGAGGACTTCTGGGTGTGTGCTGTGAAATCATGAGCTGATCATGACAGGAATGGAATTTAGGGAGTGTTGGCTTTAAAAAGGGGTGTCTGTGGTTCTTCCTGTCCATCCCAGTCTCCTTTTTGCCTGCCTGGAGACATCTTCCAGCACACTGACTTGCAGCACTATTTGGTGGTGCCAAATGCCCAGGCAGGCCCACCCACCCAGTGGGTTTTCTGCCCTTTGGAAGGGTGCTGCGGAAACGAAATGACAGCGCTTCTGAAGCAGTCACAGGGCTTCTCTTTCCTGCCCAGGGGACTATGCTGGCTTTCCAGGCTGCGGCCTTCTTCGACTACACAGCACATACCGCCATGATCTCAAGATCTACGCCTCTGATGAGGGCAGAGTCCAGATGACAGCGGCAGCATTTGCAAAGGTTCCTGGGCAGCAGTCTTCTTGGGGGTGCTGTAGTTAGGCCAGCAGAGGCTACAGGAGGGCTCAGCTCCTACCGTGCACTGCCAGAGCCGCTGACCCTTAGTACATCCCCAGCGCTCTGGCTAGAGCCGGGATTTGATGGGGACTCTGCGGGGGCTTCCTTTCCAAAGCAGAGAGCAGAGGTGAGAGGCTGATCCCCGGGTCTTCCCACAGGGCCTCCTTGCTCTGGAAGGGGAACTGACTCCGATCCTGGTGCAGATGGTGAAGAGCGCCAACATGAATGGCCTCCTAGACAGCGATAGTGACTCTCTCAGCAGCTGCCAGCACCGGGTGAAGGCTCGCCTCCGGGAGATCATGCAGAAGGACATCTCATTCTGCGCAGAGGACTACGAGAAGGTGGCAAGGCACATTTCTATGGCTTTGAGAGAGGCGTCCCAATTCCAACAAAATGGTTGAAACGTGCAAAACTTTAAGAGCAGTCAGAAAGGTAGCCAAAGGTAATTCCATCAGGCTGTGGTGGCTGATCGAAAGGCTGGCTTTCTGCTGCGCTGTGGCTGAACGGAAGACCTCTGAAAGGGGTGGTTCCAAGGTGTTTATGACCCAGAATTGCACTGTGGCAAATCATACACTTTCTCCAGGGAACTGGCAGCTCTGTTCTGTGGCAGACGTTTTCGTCCGTCTGTGAGAGCACACTGTTCCTAAAGAGCTGCTGTCCAAGGGGAGTGGTAGGAAGTGCCCCCTGCCAAGGCTGCCGTTCAAAATATTTTCTGGCCACAGAAGAAAAAGCTCTTTGGCCTCTCCCTGATCCAGGTCACCCAGTCTCAGTATGGATGGGAAGGTTCCTGAAGGCATGGCCAAGACGCTTAGGGCCTTTTCTCTAAACTCTGGCTGGTCGCAGCTGTAAAGATCTAGCAGGAACAGCCTAACTGGCTAAGTCAGGGACTGAGAGAGTCTGGATTCTGAGGTTGGACAGCTGTCACCCAATTCCAGATACCCTTTTCCTGGGCAAGATGCCCATCCAGCCACATGGAAGAAGCCATGTTCTTTAGATCCATTTTAGTTTGGCTTTTCTTTGGGATATTCCACAGAAGCAGACTCAATTTCTCTGATCTGTTACCTTTGCTGGGAGAGAGAGAGATGTAGAGTGCTACCAGTGGTGCTACCGGTGTTGATTTTCCTGGACCTCTGAGCATGGGATAATGCTTGGGCAGCATAATGTTTTGGGAATTAGATAGTAGGCCCTTTCTTGCCTGCTGGACTGTCTGTGGTCAATGGGAGATTCCCCTTTGGTCCCATGGCTCAAGGTGGACTTTTGTGTCCCTCCTATGCTGTTTGGTCTTATGTGACGCTCTTTTGAATGGTACTTCTATGTTGCTTTCTGCTAGTCAGCAAATGAAGACCTACTTCTTCACTCAGGCATTTGTAGGACTCTCTTGGCTGGTGGGAGCACTAGTCTTGCCAGATAAACAAGGTCAGGCTTGGATCGGGTTTGATGGGAGATTGCCAGTCCATGCCAGGGTGTAGGCTGAACTTGGAAATCGAACATTGATCTTAGAAAAAGGCAAAGGCAAGCCACTCCCATGCTGTTGCCAAGGAAACTGCATGGAGGTGTGCATGAAGTCAAACTTAACACAAGGGTATTTTTACTTTAATTTTTAATGTGTTTTTAAAAAAGTATTGGTTCTATTGGTGGTGGTTTTATTGAAGATTGCGGTTTTATACACAGCTTCTCCGGAGGAAACACCTTTTAGAGAAAGAGGAGGACAGCCAGCCAGGGAACAGATCCTAAACCTCCTTCTAGGCCGGGGGAGTTCTCTTGCTAGAGCTGCACTTTTTCCAAGAAGACCTACATTGAGGAGGGAATGCTGTGGGCTCAGCTGAAGGCTCTTTGTCACGGTCTACTTGACACTACGAAAGGAAGGGGTTTAAAAGCCTTTTAAGAAAAATCCATCAAATTCTGAGTGTTGGGAAGGATGTTTTGCAACAGGTTTCTAAGGAAGTGGCATCCAGGAATAAAGAGGTTCCCACACAAAGAAGGTTATGCTTTGTTACTATCTGGTATCTAGTCCTGGGCTGGACAAGATGGACAGAAGATCTGAACATAAGCCTCTTGAGGAACCAGCTGTTCCTCTTTAAGGTTTGAACGTCGCTTGGCATATTGCACTCTTAATAAATAGGAAAGAATTCTGATTGCCAATGTCTTATTTTACCCCAATACAATGCTGTCACCAGTGAATAGCAGCAATTCAGTTAAAGGCATTCAGCAATAAGAATAGCTTTATGAAACTATTAACAATGCTGGAGGCAGAGTAGCAATTTTCAGTGCTGCATGTAATTCCTGTTAAGGATTGTAACATAATTCAGTTTTCAACAAACCTGAATTGAAGCTTGCAGAGTTTATGCAGGATTTAGGAACGTATCATCTTTTTTTTCTTACCTTAAAAACTGTCAGAAATGAAACTTTACCAAAAACAAGTTGGGCATGTCTTCACTGGCATCCAGTTAGAATAATGTAACAAGAGTTCATAAACATTCTGAAGAAGATAGAAGTATATAGATACGTGCAGCTACTAAGGTTGGCATAGAAGTAAGGTGTTTTTCAGGACATTGAAGTGAAATGTCTTCCTAACCCTTGTGAATTGGAATAGTTGCACATCTACCACTTTAATTCAAAACCAGTTGGATTATAGCCATTATTTTCAAAACTTGTTACTGGCTCGGCATATCCAGCAAGGGGTTTTGGCTTCCCAACGAGCTCAGGTTAAGTGTCACATCCAGTAAGGATTCTTGCATTGTTGCTGTTTGCTTGATCAAAGAAACCAGGTACGCAGCCATTACCTAAAACAGAGTCAAAATAAAGTTCGATTTCCAGAGTGGCAGCTGCTTTCAGTTTCAATGTCCAGAGGTGACTGATGTGACAGTCAATGCATGCTGACCATTGTGGAGCCAATTGGCAGTAGCGTTGTTGGACTGTCAAGTGCGCCATTGATCCTTTGCTCTGATTTCTCTTCAGCTGGCACCAACAGGCAGTGCCTCGCTCATCAGGTCCATGGGAATCATCAGGAATCCAGTGGAGACCTGCGATCAGGTCTTCGAGCTGATTGAGAGCCTCACTTCCCAGATCCAGAAACGTCTGGAAGACCCAAAGTCTGCTGGTATAAGAGCCATTTCCTTTGGAGTAGAGAAAAGCAGAGAGACAACGGGCAGCCTGGCTGGATCTTCTTTGCTTTTTTAATTATAGCTCTTGAGGTCCAGTAGCTTGTGCCAGGTGCAAAGTGCTGGGGGTGGGGGAGGGCTAAACATGCACATTGCTCAGGAGTCCCTAGAATTTGTCTCTTCTCTCCAAAGAGAATTTGCTCTTCTGCTTTCCCCAACTTTTCTTTATTCCCAAAGCCTAATGTAGTGCTTGAGCGGGAGTATCTTTGTTGCTGCAGCTGGCAGACACTCAGGAATTTTTAAAAAATGGCTGGTCTGCTGTTGCTTTTGCAAATGACCTTGTGGTCTCCCAGCGCCCCCCAAGACCTGCCTGTGTGTCCCCTTAGCTCTGGAGCTGACGCAGTCGCTCTGGGTTTTGCAGACCTTCAGCTGTACCACAGTGAGACCCTGGAGCTGATGCTGCAGCGCTGGAGGAAGCTTGAGCAGGACTTCCGACTGAAGAACCGGCGTTACGATATCAGCAAGATCCCTGATATCTATGACTGTGTCAAGTATGACATACAGCACAACGCCGCCCTGCAGCTGGAAGGCACCTCTGAGTTGCTACGGCTCTCCAAGGCTCTAGCAGACATTGTCATTCCCCAGGTACTGGGTGGTCCCTGGCCTCAGCCGCTGAGCAGCATCAGGTCGAATTGTGCTGAGGCTGCTCTGCAAACACTTTGATCTTTCTTAGGAATATGGCATCAGCCAGCAGGAGAAGCTGGAGATTGCTGTGGGCTTTTGCCTGCCTCTCATCAGGAAGATCCAGCTGGACCTGCAGCGAACCCACGAGGACGAGTCTGTCAACAAACTGCACCCCTTGTAAGAAGTGGGCAGATTCCACAGGTTGGGTTGTCTGAAGACAGCAAGCCAGCTGTTGACCAGCCATGGCAGAGGCCTGCCTTCTTGTCCTTCCCCTGGCTTCAGCGTTGGTGTTCTGCATGTGCAGTGTGTAGCAGAGTGGGCCTTGAGGTTCTCAGAGGCCTGGAGAAGGTGCCTTCGTGACCAAGCCCTGCCTGCCCAGGCAGAGCAGGGTGACTCACGCTGCCTCGGCTGCTCTGCTTTCAGGTATTCAAGGGGAGTCCTGTCTCCAGGGCGCCATGTTCGGACACGTTTGTACTTCACCAGCGAGAGCCACGTCCACTCCCTGCTTAGCATCTTCCGCTATGGAGGCCTGCTGGATGTAAGCGAGAGGCAGCTGCAGTGGGGTGGCAGCCAGGGCACTTTGGGCGTGCCAACTCTTGGAGGAAGTCCAGGATGTCACACAGAGGTTTTTGTCCATTTCTCAGCACAAACCCCACTGATGGGGGCTTCTGAGCCAGGAGTTTCTTACGTCCCTGAGAGATGCAGGGGTTGAGTCACTTGGGCTGGAGATGGTCTCTCTTTGGTTGCTGCTGAGTCTTCATTAGCAGCTAGCTCCCTTGCCAACCCCCTTTGGTCCTGATCTCATGAAGGGAACAGGCTGACGGCGTGATGGGCTTTGGAGCCATATCCTTCCATGGGGTTGTGGAAAAAATGGTAGCTGCCTTTGTCTAAAGGCCCAAGTCAGGACTGGGAGGGAAGGGAGGGGGATTCTCCCAAGGCACTGCTGCTGAGGGCCCGTGCCCAGCTTTGCCGGTGTTTCAGTTCTGCCTCCCTCTGACCCCTCTGCATGCCAGGCATCGAAAGATCCCCAGTGGAAGAGAGCCATGGATTACCTGGGTGCCATTTCAGAGCTGAACTACATGACCCAGATCGTCATCATGCTGTATGAAGATAACAACAAGGTGAGGGAGGGGCCAGCTGGGCATCGGGGGCCAACCAAGCCCTTTGGTCTTGTCTCCATCCAAGGGTTGCTGCCTCCACAGGATCCATCGTCCGAGGAGAGGTTCCACGTGGAGCTGCATTTCAGTCCTGGAGTGAAAGGCTGTGAAGGGGAAGGCAGTGCCCCTGCGGGATGCGGCTTTCGCCCAGCGTCAGCAGAGGTGAGCTTGCACCTCCACAGGAGAGCTGAGTGCCGCCCTTTCTTCAGAGGGCAAGGGTGGCAATTAGATGCCAAGGCTGGGTATCACCTGCAACATGCCCAGCCCTGGAGGTCGTAGGCCTGCTCGTGCTGCAGGAGGAGTGTCAGAGTGAGAAGCCGCTGCAGCCTTCTCTTGTTAACTCTAGTAGCAAAATTACTGATACACTAAAAATATCACGAGGAGAAGTGTCAGAATCCTCGGAAGATTTTATAATAGATTATTAGATGGCTAGTTTAAAAAGGAAAAAAAATGGTTTTTTACATGCTGCGGTTCTGCCATTGTAAAAGGGGCGGGGGGGGGAAGTAAGAAAAACAGCTTTTG